AGCATATCTTTTCTAAACAGCACTTGTGCTGTAAAAATATTTCTACACAGCTGAAAACACAAAAATCTATTCCAGCGTCAACGTCACTATTACTTTCCCCAGTGGATAATTCTTCATCCGCTCTCTCCCGAGCTGCCATGACCATCCAAGCCGGGCTGAACTGTATTATGTGTGTGCGTATTTCAGTTGAAGGGCCGAAAAAACTGCCGTTCTCTCAGTGAACTAATGAAACAAAAGCAAACACACAGTGGTACAATGCTGTCCGCCAGCATCCAGCAGGCCAATGTCATTAATCATGAGATCCAGGGGCAGAGGGCTCTTCATCCAGTCCTGTTGCCATGGCAGACCCTACAAAAGTGTCACATATGCACCTTTCCCTCTTTCCTATGGCCTCACTGGTTGGCCACCAGCCAATTGCAGCCGTTAATATAAAAAAAAGGAAAACCATACACAAATACTGCTTTGCACATGCACTTTTACCCATATATGCATTCTTTGACCTTGCCCACACATCCCAGTCTTGTTCTCTTTGTTACATGCACACAAACAATCCTGATCATTTCTTTATCAGTCGTTCACTCAGTGCTGAGAGAGGAAGAGATACGGCAGAGCTGGATATACGAGAACCCAAGCAATCTGCGGGCAGTCTAGGGCTATTCCCGCTAATCCTGTGTCATCACCTGTTATCCTTCAGGACACACATGCACAAACATAGTCTCCGGTCCCTGAGCGTCTCCCCTTCTGCCCTCTCTGTTTACTGACAGGATTGTTGTGGGGCTATCATTCCAATCTAAACTACTTCATTTTTACTTTGCAAGCGCCCATACAAACAGAGAACTACACGAGGATGGTCCACCTAACAAGCTCGAGGAAAAGAAACATTACCAAACAAACAGGACACTGGGGTTGAGTAAACAGGCACGGGAAAGGCCTAATGGTGTCCCTGTGTGTGACCGAGAGGGCTGGGTTCCCATGCAATAGTTTAGCAGAGAAAAAGCTAGCTGAAAATCATCTAGACATTTTTGTGATGATGTGGCTTAGTGGTTAATTATACAGGATGTTAAGGTAACATAGGTTTAAACTCGAACTTAAATTCTTAAGTTCCTTAAATTCCTAAGTTACCTCCAAAGTCGAAAAATAAGCACATGATTTTTTTTTTTATTCATTTTTTTTTTTTTTTTTCATTTAATAAGAAACAAAATTTACAGACCAAAATCCACTGAAACTCTACATGCTTATACATTCATCCTCACATTCATACCCCAAACATACACGGATGAATGTATATGAAAAATTCTTTATCTTCTTACTGGACAATTTACTAAAGAAAAAAAAAATGTATCATAGCAATGTAGATATTGTGTGCCAAAAAGGATTTTAAAAATAATAAAAAAATTAATAAAAAATAAGTGGAGCATTTATAATATATTTTTTAAAAAAGGTACTACTAGGTCTGTATATATCTAGTAATAAATATACATTAAATAAATTAAAAAATATATAACAAGTTACTGTTCTTATAAAATATAATTTACTGGATAAATCTTACTTTGACTTAATCTTACGTTAGCCTAACAATGAATACGCAATTCCACAATACTTTTTGACGCAAAGAATGGATATAAAATAATATTATATAGGCCCATAAAGGGGTATTGAGGCTAAACTCTTCATGCTAACAAATATTAATTTCATTAACACACAATCTTCTCCGTTAGCACTTTTGGAAACAGCTTACTGAGTGTGAGGACAGACATCCATCTGAGAGGGTGTCTGCCTGAAAAAGGCTGAGTGGGGCAGCCAAGAAGCAGAGGCAGTTTGACAGGGGTGTTATGGAAGGGTCAGCTGGTGCTGCTCTGCATTGCATGAGAAAACACAGGCAAGTAAGGCAGGTCTATATCGGGCACGCAGTCAGCATGCCAAATGGGTTACTGAACAGCGCAATGTGATGGACGTCCTGATAGCACGCCAAGCTTTCACGGCATGTCCAGCATTACACAGGTACCCATGAACCAAAACAAGTGCGGCTTAGGCTGCTAATCCGAAATCAACCGCCCGTTTGGCATCAGAAGGGCATCAGATACTTAGCTGAGATGAGTGTTTAGGACCCGGCTGTTATCTTAAAGCCATCACCTCATCCAAAACCCTGGCACCCAACTCTGTCTCGTGTCTCGAGAGGTGGAGCAAATCATTGTTCTGTCATGCCAGAGAATTTGAAATGACCTGATTTGGGCAGCACAGTTCCGGTAAGACATCTGGAGCCTCTTCACCATGTTCTCCTGCTCCACAAACCTGACAGTCTGTATAAGCACCAGCACAATTACCCAGAGCTCTTTTGGGTCAATGACATTTACCGCACCACTCACAGTCACAATCAGCTTCTTCTGCTCTATATGTCTTCAAATACAGATTCATGCCATGGCACAGTGAATGGCCAAGGCTTCACAAAAGAACGGCCTGACAGGAAGGTGAATGAAGAGGAATAGAAAGAACCACAGAGCTAATGGAGGTTAAAACAGTTCACTGAAGTCTGAAAACCCATCCCCCACCCACCCCAAAAAGGAGAGTCAAATAACTTCTGAAAACACCAGCAAAACTTAAAATAGGAACTCACCAGGGATAAGCAAACTGTACAATTGCGGTCGAAGTCAATAGACTCAGCATAAATGAAATGTAAATGGTTTTTTGAAACAGAAATGATTTTTTCTGTCTAGAGATGGCTGGTTCAGTTTTGATTAGGCTAAATCTCTTTTGCAGTAATGGCACTGCCTCCCTCCGCTGAAGTATCAGGCGATATATTTAACTCAGACTGGGGCAGGCTGATTCACCCCACAGTAATTGAGGGTTGAGGACGTAAGCTCCGCTGGATTGGGAGTCACTGTAACATGGCCGCAATGCATGTTGGTTAGGGAAAGACATTGCAGTCAGTTCCTTATGGTCTCATGTCTTTTACATGAGTGAACATGAATGCATTTCAATGATGTCTGGTTTCACACTCAAGATGTATTGCAGAGCATCAAAGATGAAGGGCCTCCATAAACTATGAGCTGCTGGCCTAGAGGGATTGTAAAGCAGTAAATGCCCCCCAAAAAAGTCAGTATACAGTATAAAAAAATATGATTTGGCCACAAATAACTTGTAGTGAAAACAACCTCTCTAAAAGAAATCAGAAGATATTTTGAATAACGAAAGCCTATAGGGTTCAAAACCACTGAACCCCACTGATATTCATTGTATGGACAAAAATTTAAAAATGTGACATTGTATACACAACATATTCAGTTTTTCCCGTTGTGCTATATGTGTTTAGATTTGAATACTGCCCTAATGAAAAACAATCAATGGTGAAACATCCATTGCTAAAATCTCACATGGCGAATCAACAGAAGTTTGTGTGGTTACTATGGCAATCAAAGGAAAAGCATTTACAGTCCTGCAAAAAATAATCTGTTCACATATAACTTAAAAGGTTAGAATTTAAAAAAAAAAAAAAAAAAAAAAAAAAAATCTGATTTCATCTAAAGCGAAAAAGCCTGAAGTTAGTGGTCACAGTAGACTTTGAGCGTGCAACATTTCTTCGGACACATACGATAACATTTTACACACTAGGGCTTCTAACATATCAGAAAATCACAAACAATGTGATTATGACTCATTATAAAAATTTTTTATATATACCATATACTTCGACATTCCTGCAACTCTGAAGTGTGTGTTGAGCCAAGAGGTCAATCTGTGGTTGTGAATTGTTTCTAAATAAGATGAGCTTTTGCGCTGAAACACTAAACGCAAAAAAAGGTGCTGCAACTGTTTAGTGAACTTATGTCCTCACACTTACAGGCTTTATCCAGCAACCAAGATGACAGACAACAGCATCAACCATGTCAGATCCTCCAGCAGAAAGCAGAGCCCCTTGATCTCCATGCCCTCGTGTGACACGTCTGACCTTACCGAAGCAGGTGCTAGTCTTAAGGAATGCTCTGAGGTTAGCAAAGGGTAGATACAGCGTGCGGCGCACCCCAAAGAATGGCAGGAATGTCCGTCCTGTGGAGGTAGGGGTTCAAGGACGGAGACACGACAAATTCGGCACCTTTAAAATTTGTTTTGCTTAGCATGTCGAAAAATACAGCTGCTTCTCCTGTGCCAGTTATCTCACAGCAATCATCCATGAGACAGCCGCGAACAGATTAACGGTGCCAAACGGATGGTCGTAAGAATGTCTTAAAAAAATTATTAGCTCAGAACACAACTGAGCACAAAGACTGCTTGTTTCTTTCAAAGACTGCTTGTTTCTTTCAAAGCCTGTCTCCCTTTGTTATTTACATGTCCTAACTGTCCAACCTGACACATTTTTACGGTTAGGGATGACACAGCACTCTTTTGGGAACACAGCTTTAGAAAATCCCTGCATGCCGATAAAAAGCACATTCCTTTAATCTCCTCACAGCTTTGCCAGGCAATGTGGTAGCTCCAAAACAAAGAAAACAAATAGTTGGTGACCTCTGATGAGTCCAGTGCTGGGGAGGAAGGGGAGCAGATGAAGCAAAGCACTAACTCTTCTATCCAAGCTTCTTTTTATGAACTTTAAGCACATATTTGTTGTGTTCAACATCCATCTGACTATTTTCTCTCCGTCAGATCCTGTAGGAATCCTCCTGTTTACCTCATCTTAACATTACAGAAATATTACTGACAGACATACTTCTTTGGTTAAACCTAATCTGAATAAAGAGTAACCTCTGGAAAGATTTGTAGTGAATAGACAAACTGAATGTTGACATTTTGTTGCATGTGACCACAACAGTATTCAAGATACGACGTGTTGATATTCTATAGCAAAGCGTGAGATCAGAAAAGATCTTTGAGACAAAAACTTCACATCCAGAACAACAAAAACCTGACCATTAAATAGCAGGAAAATGGGTGATAATGTACATAAGAAATTTAAAAAACAAACACACGCAAGGAGTCAATGAGAGCGAGTGAATCCTCAAACTGACCTGCTTCACTTCAGCCGGCATCACGGAAATCCTGTTTGGTTAAGCCTCTGGGAGAAACGCAACGAGAACAATATTCTCTTGTGAGTGGAGTTTGTCTGTAAGTCAGTCTTTCGTTCCTTATTATGCGAGTATGTCCTGTGAGAGCCGAGACAGCTCACAGCCACAGAGCCATCCTTTCCCCACGGTCACATGCACGAATATACTCCGTCTCTCGTCTTCTTGCGTGTTCCTCTCTCTCTCTCTCTCTCTCTCTCTCTCTCTCTCTCTCTCTCTCTCTCTCTCTCTCTCTACTTCTCACACACACACGCTCTTTCTAACACATGCTCGTAATCCTCTCAGGGACAGAAGAAACCCGCCTCCACCGTCAGCGAGCGAGGATGCTGCAAACGTTGGGGCGAATAATGATTTCAAAATGAGGAGAGATGCTTTAGACAGTCCAATGAATCCTTCAATAAATTCAGGAATCCGGCTGAAGAGAACCAAAACAAAACAGCTCACACACAGAGAAGTGGAAGGGAAAAAAAGTTACCCGGTGCAGGAACAAAACCCTCTGGGTAGACTAAGAGAGAGGGGGGTTGACGGGCGTAGAGGACAGGGTAAGGGGGGGTGTGTGTGCGTTTGAGTGAATAGAATCTTCCCAGAAGGCAGTTGCCCTGTTCACAGTGTAGAGTTTTGTACTCTCATTCTCTCCCTCTCCTCACCGAGCATCTATGCAGACAAGGGTCAGACGGATTGGAGGGGGAGGGGCTGATAGACAGACGCAGCTGGAGTGGAAAGTGAGAGAGAGAGAGAGAGAGAGAGAGAGAGAGAGAGAGAGAGAGAGAGAGAGAGAGAGAGAGAGAGAGAGAGAGAGAGAGAGAGAGAGAGAGAGAGAGAGAGAGAGAGAGAGAGAGAGAGAGAGAGAGAGAAGACTCCACCCAGCCATCATGCCAAAAGAGCATGAGCCCTGAGAGGGGGCAAAGCTTCACAAAACTTTGTTATTTTCCTCTTTTTTACCCTTACGCTCTCACTCGGCCTGTTCTTTTCTCTCTCTGCTTTTGTCCTTTTGTCCTTCCAGCCTGCTAAATATGAGAAGGGAAAGGAAAGAGGTTGCAGAATGATTTCAGACAGCATTCAGTGACTGATAGTGAGAAAGAATTTTAATCCAAATCTATGAATGGCTTTAACACAAAGCCGGAAGGAGGGAGAGTTCAGGGATGGGCACTTTACACCCATGGTGTCAAACTCATTTTAGGTTGTGGGTCGGATGTGGGACAACTTTTTTATTTGTTGTACATTGGTGCACTCGTGGAGTTAAAAAAAAGTTCAGAATTAACATTATGCATGCTTTACTAACCTACACTGGGGTTAAAATTAAATGGTGCATTCGCAATTTATTAATTTCATACTATTCAAGTGTTTGGGGTCAGTAAGATTTTTTTTTTTTTGAAAGAAATTAATTTAAACTTTATTTATTTAAATTAAACTTTTATTTAGCAAGAATACATTAAATTGAAAATAAGTGACAGTAGAGACTTTTAGACTGTTACAAAAATTTCAGCATCTGAACTTTCTATTCATCGAAGAATCCTGAAAAAAAAAAAATCACAGTTGTTTTTAACATTGATAATAATAGGAAATCTTTCTTGCATATCAGAATGATTTTTGAAGGATCATGTGACACTGCAGACTGGGAGTACACAATGTGTACACCTGCCCTAACATAAATTTAGGCTTAACAAAATAAACTATACAACTAATCTCTATTTACAAGCCTGCGCCTTAGTCAAACATAACTTTATCAACTTACTTGACCAAAAAAATCCACATTTGAGAGCAATTCCGGACAAGTAGAAATTGTTAAAGTGTCAAAAGCTGAAGATTTTCCACCTCAGAGGCTGAGGTATCTCATGTCTTTACTTAAAAACAAAATCTTCTCAAACTCTGAACAACAGTCAGCACAAACACACACCCACACTGAAGAGCACCATGTCTTATCTAGCAGTAACAGCCTGAATCTGTTTGCAGTCGGCCTGAATGAATTCACTCCTTTTTCTACTATGGAGTCTGACACCAAACAGACTGCAGAACGCCCTGTGGTCACTAAACCATATAAACATGTCAACAGAAAAAGTGTTGATAAATAAATAAACTGAAAGTAATCAGAGCTTTTTAGTGGATCCAGGCCTGAGGAGGTAGTGCGATGGAACAGATGCCGTGAAAGGTTAACGTGGACTACGGAGAGAAAGACAAAAAGAGAAAACCACACATAATGAAACGAACAAGAAAGAATAAGCAAGATATGCAATGTACATGCGACTGTTCTAGTCTCATAAATATATTTATGAGCACTGAATATTTGAAAAGGCTTTTGCTCCAGAGGATGTATGATGTTTACTTAGGGTTGCAGCACTCTTAAATTTGGAATGTAATGAATTTCATCATTAGAAGTTTTCAAAGGGGGCGACTCAGCAAAGATCGCATTTTAAATGCATAACCTCTGTAAACGAGCACTGATTGCGGTAAAAAAAAAAAAAAAAAAGGAAAAAAAAGTGGGACTGCAGACTGGGAAATAAACATACAATGTTGTTTCTCTTGATTTGCATGATCAAATAAAAAAATGTGAGTCTTGGGTTTCTCCATAACGTAGATGCTGATCAACAACACAGATCTGGTAAATGAGATCCTGAGAGAATATGAAAAAATCAGAACTAAAAGGGAAATATAGAGCATAAAATGTATAGCACTGAAAGAAGTTTCACCAAAAATATAAAAATCAATCATTATTTACTCACCCTTGTGGGGTTTATTTTCTTTCTTTCTGTGGAACATAAAATAATTTCTGAAAGATATCCTTGCCCTTCAATATAATGAAAGTGAATGAGGATAGGAGTTTTCAACCTTCATAATATATTTCCAAGACCCTTGTGATGGTACATCGACTTAAAATAAGTTAAATGACACATCTGCCATAGCCTGACGTGGTCTGTATCGCTTTTACTGGCACTATGTAACGTCGGGTTTCGGGTAGGAACCCGAGCACAAAAAGAACTAAAAAATTCGACTGCTTTACGGCATACGTCACTTCCCCCACCACTTCCTCAAATTGTCTGTGGCCATTGCAGACATCCCAAGTCACCCATATTGATAGCATCTCCCTGATGCCCGAAAATTAGTTCAAATCTCCCGGAATCTAGAGCGCGCATGCGAGACAAAACATACTGCGCGCATAACATACATAGTGCGAGGATGGCAGAGAGGGAGAGAGCGAGAAACCTTGCGAGTGTGCCTCACGAAAGCTAGTCAACCCGCCACCCGTCACCCGTCGCTTGAAAATAAATGCCGTACAAGTTCCGAGCAACATGAGGGTGAGTAAATAATGACAAAACTACTGTATGGGGTGATCTATTCTTTTAACTACACATGCATTTCATTTTGTGGTGATTATCATCTTTTACAAACATAAAATATCAACTCTATACACTTCTGCTTTCAGTCTGAGCTGTCCTACTGTGTCTAACATTCTCATTCAGTAGCTGCTCTCCAAATGTTCACTTACTCGAAGCTCATTATGCAGTCTTCTGCTCGCATAAAGTCTTGTTATGAGACAACGTGTAAATAGACCAGTGCCCTGGTAATAAGGTAAGCGACTGACAGTCCAGACGCGCATACCAATCTCTGGATAAATATAAAGAGCAGAAACGAGTCTATCCACTCCCACACAACGTCAATAAAGGCACCAGAGACCAGACAGAAATATTAAACCTAATATATATGGGAAAACAACAGGAGAATAAAACAACGTAATTTAGCTGATCTTATATTGTGTTACCTGCCACACAGGGTGATGAAGAGAAAGTCAAATAAAAATATCAATGCTATTTGTTTTGATTGTTTTGAATTTATTTTTAAACAACATTTCTATCTGTACGTAGTACGTATATATTGGAATAGGTTGTTAAATCAACCATCTTCGTAGAAATGTACAAGTAATCATCAGCTATATCTACAGTTCTCATCAACAAATTTGTAGCACATACATTATTAAACCGTGATGCTAAACCACTTCAAGGCAACTTCCATTAAAAGTCAGTGTCTTGAAGCCTCCAAACAAGTCTTTCAAGTGTTTTCAATTTAGGCTCCCAATAAGAGGGTCAAGCACAGACTTTTTTGGTTATATATGAACATGCCGAATAAAGGGGTCACATTCCTGGAGTGACTCAGGGGTCTCATAAAGCAAGAGATTCTTATTTTAAACACATGAGTTCAGGATCCTCTGAGTGAGCAGCAGTTGGTCCTTTAAGTGTCTCCAGAGTCAATCCTGCTGGTATGGTTAAAGGAGAACTCCGGCGCAAAATGAACCTCGGGTGTAATAACACATTGGTACAGACTAAATCGTTCCCTGAGATTTGTTTTCATGATAATCGAATATAAAGAGTTTTATCTCTAAAAACAGTTTAGCTTATAACGCTAGTATATTGGGCATCGAGTAAGCAAAAAGAGATCGCTAGTTAATACCATTAACAAGGCTCAAATTAGCCCCACACTAACACGGCAGCATAATGAGTGTCCTTACTTGCAAACCGAAGCATTGAGAACTTTGTAAGTGTATAGACAGTTTAATAAGAAGATACTTTACACAGACAGTACAGTTAGCGCATACAGACAGGAGCCATCTTGGAAAACAGTCTCGATCAATCGAACCACGAAGGTGAGCGAACAGTACGTGTAGATATTGAAGATAAGATTATAAAATTATAAAATTATATTTATTTTTTTATTTTCTCTGTTGCGTTCAGTGCTTATCTTATGCGCTCAGTGCTTTCTTCCGGAAACAACGGACCATATGAGATTCCAAGTCACAGTTCAGCTCACGTATCACCGTGTTCGTGGTTTGACTGATCGAGACTGTTTTCATAGATGGCTCCTGTCTGTATGCGCTAACTGTACTGTCTGTGTAAAGTATCTTCTTATTAAACTGTCTATACACTTACAAAGTTCTCAATGCTTCGGTTTGCATGTAAGGACACTCATTATGCTGCCGTGTTAGTGTGGGGCTAATTTGAGCCTTGTTAATGGTATTAACTAGCGATCTCTTTTTGCTTACTCGATGCCCAATATACTAGCGTTATAAGCTAAACTGTTTTTAGAGATAAAACTCTTTACATTCGATTATCATGAAAACAAATCTCAGGGAACGATTTAGTCTGTACCAATGTGTTATTACACCCGAGGTTCATTTTGCACCGGAGTTCTCCTTTAAGAATAAGGTATAATCAGGAAACTTTCAACCACATGCAGATGCAGTAGCTGTTGAGTCAGTTATAGCTCATATTATAGACAACTAGTAGACTACTAATAGTATCCAGGATTGATTAGGGAAGGGTGATATACTGAATATTTACAATATTTACACACAATGTTTTGCTGATGACATATTAATGTGAATATTACAGTGTTCCTAAAGTACTTTTTATTTGGACAGTGTGTGATTATATGAGTTGTGATGCCCTGTTTGCC